TGAAGATCCTGCTGTGGGTTCATCGTTGCGTAGTTTAGCACAGCTTCGCATCACGGGGAAAAATAAATTTACTAATGGCAAACTTGACTGCGTAATATGGAAAGGACGCAAGATGCGATCCCCCTCAGGAAACGAAGCAGTATTTACAGCATGACTGTAGTACACACAAACCTAACCCTAACTGTAGCTATTCTGTGCATTAGCGGTTAACATTCGTGGTCGGGCTAGTAGGATCGCAAAATAGTTTGCTGACCGTAGGAGGATCAATTTATCGGGTCAACCGGCAACTTTCCAAGCGGCGACTATTAGGATGTCAAAATAGTTTCGGAACACATCAGTTTAATTGTGGTAATGGAAGCTGGCGCAGAGTCCGCCCGTTTCTTGCTCCTATTGAATTTCCGTAAATAAAAGTTGGTTAGGTCAGTCAGGACTAACACGACGAATGGCTCCTGCAAGCTACATATGTGGCGGGACAACAAACTTTTGAAAGACCCTACTAACCTTACAACACGTGCTAACCCTAATAAAGACTATTTACAGGGTTAACCTGACCCATACAATCCCTATTACTACCGGCCTCATATTAAACGCCATACTGTTCTTTATTGCCTGACAAGGGGTCGCATATTCCATTTTTGACGGTAATATTTTCAGAGCAGACCCTCGAATTATACTGTCATTCTAAAGATCATCCTTGCCATCACTATTCCTCAGTGATTTATCTTATTGTCCCGCCTGACATGAGACACTAGGAAGGCCTTTTCTGGCTCATTTGCCGTCATCCGCTAGTGATACCCAACACCAGTGTTGCCGCTGAAATTGCTGCCGCACTCGAGGTTTGAACTCAGGTCTCTCCGGTCAGAGGCGAACGTCCTAACCATTGAGCCACGAGCTCACAGTCTTGCCAGTATATATATGCACTCAGGAATGTCCGAACACCGATCCAATAGACTTCCGAACTAAACAAATGTCACGTAGTGGCTAGAGGTCCCGAAACGGGTGACCATCTGCCAGGCCGGTGCCGGCCAAGTCATAATAGCAGAGAGGGATGACAACATTTGGGCCTTGATACAGAACTGTTTCGGGCTTATTTGCCTTCATTCAGCCAAGCATAACCCTGAACACCAGCTAGGACGGACAAAACAAACATACGCACTCACAGATGGCGCAGTTTGTTCACCACTGGGGTCTAGCAGATGGGTCATAAGCCCTTCATCGAACCGCAGTTCATCAAGGCCCCACTGCCTACCATTTGCTGTCACTGCACACTGGGTATATATTCATTCAGGAATGTCCGAACACCGATCCAATAGGCTTCCGAACTAAACAAAGTTCACGTGGTGGCTAGAGGTCCCGAAACGGGTGACCACCTGTCAGGTCGATGCTGGCCAAGTCCGAAAGGCTACTTATGAATGGGCTTTTCAAATTGAGCTACGATTTTTCCTCCCTCCATTCGCATGTACATTTTCTTATATGTACGTCGGTTGGGCTACTTCACCCATTATGAGCCGATTTCTATCCCTCCTTGATTATTTAAACTACAATTTGGCCTATATTTGACGAATTTTCTGAAGATATTCATCCACCATGTCGACGATTATGGATTTTTTTGATTTCCCGGTGTTGTGAGTTTGTATGCCTAATTTTATTTCTTTTGAATGGTAGACGATTTTGCTGATAACTTTGGAAGAATATTTTCAAAATAAAGCGTGTCTTTCTCTCTCATATTTCCATGTCTTAGCCCTAAAATAAAACTAAACTGTACCCTTGATGTTACCCTCAGCCTTATCCGAAACCTAAACCTTCAGTCCACACGAACCCAAAACGTAACCCTTAATATAATCCTGACCCCCTATTCTAACCGTTACTGCAACCTTCAAATTAACTACAATC